TAAAGGAGATCAGTACTGGATGTTCATTGGAAGGACTGATGTTGAAGCTGAAACTCCAATACTTTGGCCACCTTATGCAAAGAGCTGACTCATTTGAAAAGACCCTGATTCTGGGAAAGATTTAAGGCTGGAGGAGAAGGGGACGACAGAGGATGAGATGGTTGGATGGCACCACCAACTCAACAGACATAGGTTTGGGTGGATTCCAGGAGTTAGTGATGGACAGAGAGGCCTGGCATGCCACGGTTCATGGGGTCGCAAAGAGTCAGACAGGACTTGGCGACTGAACTGAACTGAACTGAAATTTCAAAAGCAAAAGCCAGTGTCTTCTAACCTAGGTTCCCCCATCTAACTGCCAAAGAAGACTAGTGCTTACCCATCATGTTGAGCCCAACCTGTTTTCTTACTCAGAGAAAAGAGATGCCACCATCCTCTGTTAATACTGTGATGACTCAGTTCAGGAATTAGGAAAGCTTTGAGAAGGGTCAGGCTAGATCTTGGATCTTCCTTTCCTTTTGGTTCCCTTTCTGATGCCAAGGGATTCACTGTCCAGAGGTGTGAAGCCTCAGGACCCTAACAGACCGAACCCAGTCCCTCTTCTTCGGGAAGTGATCACATGTGCCCAGTGAAGGTCACACTTCCATAGAGTCCTGATTGCCCAACTCCTTCATCAGCCTGTTTTTTCCTCCTTGAATTATCTAAAATCAATAATGATTCCTTTTTAAAAGTCACACAGAATAAAGATGAGCATGAACCGAGTGATCTTAGATAATCTATGCAAACTCTGTGACCCTGTTTCTTTATCTGTAAAATGGTCACAAAGTAAATCTCAGAGATAATATTTAAGAGACTTTCTGTGCAATAATAGCCCCCCAACTTAGCAACTAGACGACAACACCCACAACTCCATACAGAATGACACTGGCAACTTCACATATTATGATGTGTGAGCCCTACAATCACCCCTTCAAGTTGACACAGCAGTTGTCCCAACCTCCATTTTCCAGATAAATATTTCCAACACACTCTCATCTCTAAGTCCCTGCCCAGTTTTGATGTACTACATTTCTGTTTAATAGAAGAGAAACAGAGACATAGTTGGTGAACAAGTTTCAAAAGGATCCCGAAAACACTTCTTTCTGAGCCTAATATTACATAATTTGGTTTGCAGGGTAAACAGTGGAAATATTTTAATAGTAAGGGGCAAGATCCTAGTCATTTTTTCCTTGCAGTGTTGAATTGGCACAATTACAATGGAAACAGGTAAGCCAAGTTAAAAAGAAAGAAAAAATGAAAAAAAGTTTTGGTTTTTTTTTTTCTCTGTCTTTTTTATTTTTTAATTGAAAGATAATTGCCTTACAGAATTTTGCTGGCTTCTGCCAAACCCCAAATGAATCAGCCATAGGTCCCTCTTCAGCCTCCTCCCATCTCCCTGCTCACCCCACCTCTCTAGGTTCTCACAGGGCCCTTGTGTGGGTTCCCTGCGTCATACGGCAAATTCCCACGGCTGCCTGTTTTCCATACGGTCGGTAAGCTTCCACGTTACTCGCTCCATACATCTCACCCCTCCTTCCTTCCCGCCCCACCCCACCCTGCCGCGTCCATCAGTCTGTTCTCTATGTCTGCATCTCTGTTGCTGCCCTGCAAATAATTTCATCAGCACCATCTTTCCAGATTCCATATACATGTGTTAGCCTATGATATTTACCTTCCTTTTTCTGAAGCAAGTACTTCACTCTGTATGATAGGTTCTAGGTTCATCCACCTCATTAGAACTGACTCAAATGCGTTACTTTTTCATGGCTGAGTAAAAAGCCAGAGCTCAAAAACAAAATGGCGTCTGTATTAAGCTTAGGCTATCGTAGCAATCCACCATTTATTTTCACTTCAAACAAGTTATTACATTTCTCCCCTAAAATAGTCAAATAATTTTAATTAACTGCTTATTTCATGCAAAGTGTACAATATTTATCTACAAAATTTAACTGAAATCTATAATATGTTCCCCCCAATTTTGTTTTCCTGTGTTATACACATGCTCACACACATATAAACAAAAAGCAATGCATATACATGTGTATGTGCCATCAGAATTACCTGTAATATGGCATTTATATGCACAGCATATGTTATGAACACTGTGTGTGTGTATATATATAAATACATATATTGGTTTTTCAAAGGTATTCTTATTTACTCATATTATTCAGAACTTAACCCAAAAGAGAATTCATAATGGCAAATATTGGAAATCCACTCATAAAAATGAAAACATTATAATTTAATTCATAAATGACAATGATTAAGGGCAGAAATATAAATTCTTTAAAAAGCAAATTTATACAGTATCACTAGTATGTAGTTATTTCTACACTATTCCATATTCAGGGAATGTAAGTACAGAGTTAATGCGATGAGATAGAAGTCAGTGATTAAACTGAATAATTATATCAATCCAAGAGATGTACTTTTTGTGTGTGGTAGCTTGCTTAAGAATAATCACTTCACAAACCTACCTAGATCTCAAGTGCATTTGGGGATTAAAACTTAATTTAAAACTTCGCTAAAAAATTCCTTGAACTCTCTATAGAAAAGGTCTAAAGTAAATGCAAAAAAATTATCATCAACATCAGTTAAAGCAGTGCTTTGCATTTTTCCCCCTAGAGAACACAAGAAGCAAATTCATAGAATTATTTGATTAGGCCAAAAAAGTTCATTATTACATTTACAATGAGTCATTATGTCTTTATTTTATGAAATCATATTTGCTTTCTTAAAATATTTTTGTAAAATATTATATTAAGTCTGACATCTATACATATATTAATCATATATCTGTATATATATCATATATACGTCAGTCTGATAATACATATATACATTCGCACGCAGTCAACACCTAAAATCTGTTTTTTGTATACTATGTTGAGTATACAAATATTTCTTGATTCTCAAACATTACTCTCAAGCAACAGGTACATATATCATTATTTTAAATATTAAAATAGCTATAACAATAGTTCCGTATCTAAAGTGGGAAATTGTTCAACTTCATAATGTTATCGTCGTCGTGGTTTCCAGGGCAACGCCTTCGCTCCCCTGAGCTTGTAACCATGGACTCTGCCCTAGAGAGGCTTGGACAGAGTGTAACTGAATGCTTTCGTTGCTCAGTTAGGAAATTGAAGCCCAGATTCTCAGATTCCTGACTTCTTACTGTCAGTCCAATAGTTAGTGTCAGAGCAGGAAATAAAAGGGAGGTCCTCTGGGCCCCGTTCCAGCATCCTTTCACCTATGCTATACTGCCTGCCACTATTCTAAGCCAGCTGACACTAAATGCATGCACACAAACATACCTCATATACAAACTATACATATAAATACCAACATACCCAAGCCATTTGCTTCAGTCAGGTCATTTTAAGAGTCAAACTACATTCTTTATGATTTTCTAGTACTACAAACAAAACATTGTTATCATTTTGGCATGATAATGACAAGATGACTTGTTGGTTATGGAAATAATTGGTTAAAAAGAGAAGAATCTGTATCACACTACTTTTCTAGATCTTTTCATTCCTTTTCATGTCTTTTACCGCGTCTATTGTTTAGGAACCTATAATCATGAACAGTTAAAAGACATGTAATAATATCTGGGCAGTTTACACCATGGTTCCCATTTGCTAACCACTTGTAACAATACGAAATATGAAACACTGTAAGAAAAAGTAATTTTTCTATTTAATTAAATATTTATCTACAAATAACAAACAGATCCTAGAGCCTAGATGTGTGTTGTCCTACAGAGTAGCCACCAGCCCCCTTGTTGGGCCCTTGAAATGCGGCTGGTTGAATTGAGATATGCTGTAAATATAAAATACACTGCAGATTTCAAAGACTTTACCCCTACAAAAAAAAATGGAAAATAATCTCAATTTTATACTACTGTGTGTTGAAAGGATAATGTGTGTATATTAAATAAATAAAATATATTATTGAAATTAATGTGGCCTGTTTCTTTTCAGTTTTTTAACATGGCTACTGGAATATTTAAAATTGCCTATGTGATTTATATTTGTGGTTCATCCTATATTTCTATTGCTCATCCCTGGTTTGATCATTTTTTATCTTCCTGTCTGAAATATCTCATTTCCTATTCCCTCAAGTTCAGAACCTACCCTACACGATTAAAGATGACCTTGTTCTTGAACCCTTTTCTGATCTCTCCCACCAGGAAATGAATCCTTGCCTTTGAAGCATCAGTATCTTGCTTCCAGCCCTGACCACTCTATTCTAACACCACTACTAGGATGCAAGTTACCAGCAAACATGGTCTGTTTTTATGCATGTTTGTAACCTATAAAACAACCAGCATGGAGCTTTAGTAAAGCATCAGTAAATGTTTACTAGACAGGTAAGCAAAGAAACTTATTCATAATATATTTGTCCTCAGTTCACTTTTTAAAAAATTATTTATTTTAATTGAAGGCTAATTGCTTTACAATATCGTAGTGGTTTTTGCCATACATTGACATGAATCAGCCACGGGTGTACATGTGTGCCCATCCTGAACCCCCTCCCCCCTCCCTCCCTCCCCATCCCATCCCCCAGGGTTGTCCCAGTGCACCAGCTTTGAGTGACCTGTCTCATGCATCACACTTGGACTGGTGATCTGTTTCACATATGGTAATATACATGTTTCAATGCTATTCTCTCAAATCATCCCACCCTCCCCTTCTCCTACAGAGTTCAAGTCTGTTCTTTACATCTGTGTCTCTTTGGCTGTCTCGCATATAGGGCCATCACTACCATCTTTCTAAATTCCATATATATGCGTTAACATACTGTATTGGTGCTTTTCCTTCTGATATTTCACTCTGTATAATAGGCTCCAGTTTCATCCACCTTATTAGAACTGATTCATTTTTGTTCAGATAAATCTATCTTGAAAGATTAGGATTTTCTAAAGTACCAGGTCTATGATTTAATAACAGGATACATACCAGCTGACTCTCCGATACTGTAGAAGATGGTGAGGACAGGTTTGCCTGCAAAATTATAAACACAGTGTTTTTTAGTGAAATTCACAATTTAGTAAAATAATATATCTATGTTTTTTAAGTATTTTGAAGTTTTTTGTTATCAAAATAATACATATCAATTGTAGAATTTTGACAGATATTAAGTAAAGGAAAAATACCATTATGCCAACTCCAAAATAATTGTTTTACATTTTTTGCTCATTGCCTTTCAATATTTCTCCTACACATTTTCATTCAGCTTACATAGTGGTATATGTGATGTTTCCTAGAGTGCTTTTCCTTAGCATCTTAACACAAGCACCAGCAAAAGGCATCAAGAATTCTTCAAGGTGATGTAATATTTCATTCTTCATACACTCCATAGTCTACTTATACCAACATTGTTAGCTATTTATATTTATTTATAGCAAAAGAAAACAACAGATTTTTTCCTTAAATTACTCACATTAAAAAAATTAAGCTTTCATGAAAAAAATCTTTGGTTTTTTAAATTGTTTTAGATTAATATTGCTTCATCATTCTTGGTTCCTGAATTTCACACCTTTCTTTTGGATTTAGTTTCCTTCTCACTGAAGTAAATGCTTTGATATTTTTTTTCAAACTTCCCATCTGAACTCTCTCTGAAAATGTCTTTATTTTGTTTTCATCTTGAGCTAGAATTTACCTGAACATAGAATTCCAGGATAATAGTTATTGTTCCCAGCATCTTTACTGTCCACTTGCTCTGACTTTCATTAATTGCTGTCAGTCTAAATGTCGTAACTTGGATTATTTGTCTTCACATTTGGTTAGTGTTTAAGGTTTTTCTCCAAGGATTTCTGTAAGCTCACTATGATGGGCCTGAGGGTGACCTCCTTTTATGTGTCCTTCTGTGGGGCTTGGTATAGGCCTTTACTCTGAGTATGCATACCTTTCTTTGATTCTGGAAAATCCTCCAGGAATCTCTTTACATATTGCTTCTCTCCTATTATATCTAATCTGTTCTTTAGAGTTTCAATGAAATACATGTTGGGTCTTCTGAATCCATCCTTCATTTCCATAAAACTCCTTGTCATATTTTTTTAATCCCATTATGCCGCATTCTGGATTGTTTCCACATACAAGCCTGACAGTTAACGAATCAATATATGTTAAACATGGCCATTGAATTTTATATTTTTATGACAGCATTTTTAACTTCAAGGAGTTCAGTTTGATTCTTTATCAAATCTTTTTATGGTATCCATAACTCCTTTTAACTCTTTCAACATTTTTATTATATGTGTATTTCATTCCAGATTTTTCTATAATCTCTCATGGTTAAATCGGGCTTCCCAGATTGCACTCACTAGTGCTAAAAAACCCACCTGCCAATACAGGAGACAAGAGATGCCAGTTCGAACCTTGAGTCGGGAAAATCCCCTGGAAGAGGGCAAGGCAACCCACTCCAGTATTCTTGCCTAGAGAAATCCTATGGACAGAGGAGCCTGGTGGGCTACATCCCATAGGGTCGCAGGATCAAACATGACTGAGCGACTTAGCACACACACACACATGATTAAATCTCTGTTTCTTGTATCTGCTGACTCTCCTTCATGCCTCTGTCCCAAGATGTCCTTCACTCATTTGGTGACTTTTTAGTTTTGATTTTGAGCTCTTTAGTCATTACTAATTTTAGTGATGATTTCTGTAGGTATCTGAGAAACCCTGGGTTGAGAAACCATGCCAATAATACATTTCATGTTTGTCCTGGTGGGGGGCCCAGGTGTTTCACTGATTCTGGGCAAGTTTCCATTGTATTTCATCAGCCTCACAGGGGCGCAGGTCCCCACATGTTCAAGTTTCATAGGTTTGTTGCTGCGTGTGCGCTCAGTTGTGGCCGACTCTCTGTGACTCCATGGACTGTAGCCCACCAGGCTCCTCTGTCCATGGAATTTTCCAAGCAAGAATACTGGCGTGGGTTGCCATTTTCTCCTCCAGGGGATCATAACGACCCAGGGATCAAACCATCGTCTTTTGCATCTCCTTCGTTGGCAGGCAGGTTCTTTATCAACTGCACCACCTGGGAAGTCCCATTGAACCTGCTCCAAATTCTTGGTCTTCATAAGTTTAGCACCCATTTTTTTATGGATGTGCATGAGTGCAGGGTACTCAGGAGTGCAGGGTAAAGATGTTGGAAGGATGTATGTCTATTTCTAGCCCACACTTCATGGATATGGGGCCTTCCAGACACCTGGATGCACACAAAGGATTCATTTATAGCTCACAGATTCACTATACAGTGAAAGCTAAACTCTAAGTTCCCGACTCCTAGGTTCTGATGTACCTGTGTCCTATAGAGCTTATACTTATTTTCCCATCTTATATTTTATTTTCCCACCTGGAGCTCTCTCTTCATATCTGGCACCCACAGTTTCACTTTCTTTCTTGTAGTTTGAGATACATATATACTTTAACAGTTACATTTTCTCAAGCTATTCTGCCCTTAAATGGGAGGCTGGGCTTCCACATCAGCTCAGCTTTCACCATTGCTGGGAAGTGGGCAACATATATAATTTTTTTTTTTTTGGGCTGCACCACGTGGCATACAAGATCTTCCTAAACTAGGGATCAAATGCTTGTGCCCTGCATTTGAAGTTCAGAGTCTTAACAACTGGCCCAGGGAAGTTCAGGAAGTGATCAAATACAGATGCACAATTATAAATATACTTGGCTAAGACCCAATAATGCTGTGTTCCTAAACTATTTCTATTCTTTTTGAAATTGCAAACATTTTCAGGGTTTATGACAGACAAGTCAGTGCTGTCTTTACCCTCTGAGAGGTGAAGGATGACTGAAAACTGAAGGCTGACTGACGCCCATGGTATTGCCAAGCACACAGGAGTGTGAATCACTAAACGTGACAACCAGGCACCTGCGGTCCTTCTTGTACTGTGCCCATCATGGTTTGTTTTAATTTTTGACTCATGCCATTCTTCACCAGGATGGCCACTGTTCACTGGCATTCCTGGCTGCTCTAAGGCAGCAGGCTGTCCTGGCTAATGACTTCCTACCTCGAGCTGCCCTGGCTAATAGCTGGGGGCCAGGTTAGTGTCCACTAAGGTTTCTGACTCTTCTGTGCTATAGAAAATTGCCCTTCAGAATGCTCATTCCAGTGATTGCTCAGCTCACCAAAGGCTTCATTTTTAACCTTGTAATGCAATATGAGTAATGGTTACTTCTAATGTCTTAAGATCTTTTTCCTTTAATTAATTTTTCACTATTGGAATAATGAGAGAATTTCTCTACTAACTTCCTTAGCTAAACAGCCTCGATGAAATATGCTGAACTAAATGTGTCTTGATGGAAACAAAACATAGATAAGGGGCTTCTCTGGCGGCCCAGTGATTAAGAATCTGCTTGGCAATTCAGGGGACGCTGGTTCGATTCCTGGTCCAGGAAGATTCCACATCCAGTGGAGCAACTGGACCCCATTCACCACAGTTGCTGAGCCGGCGCTCTAGAGCCCTAGATCCACGACTGCTGAGCCCAAGTGTTTCAGGTATTGAAGCCACGTGCCCCAGGGCCCGTGCTCCGCAACAAGAGACGCCACAGTGAGAAGCCCACACACACTGCAGCTAGAGTTGTCCCGCTCACCACAACTAGAGAGAGCCCTCGCAGAATGAAGAACCAGCACGGTCAATAGACAAATAAAATATTTCAAAAAGCATGGTTAAGATTTTATCTCAGTAATTTTAAGAAAAAAAGAAGTCACCCACTAAAAATATTTGCACAATTTAACTACATTACTAACATTTTTCAGTACATTGGGCTAAATAATACCAGACTGTCATAGAGAAAAAGATAAAATGCTTAGGCAAATATATTAGTTAAATTAAGGGAAAACCCATATATCTTTGTATTCAATCTCCACAAGTCCCCCAAATTTCTTCACTGAGAATGATGACATAACAATAAGGTGTTTTAGACATCCCCAATACATTTTTATTTCATCTAATATAATGGACTTCATATCACTATTATGAGAAACTATTTCCAGAGGGGGGAAAAAAACAGAATTAAATTTGAACTTTAAGGTGGAGTAAATATTTATAAAGCCACTGCAGATCCTTTATCAAAGAAAAAGAATGTTGGCTTATGTGTATTATCACTAATAAAACCAGACTCTCTCAACTAATCTAGTATCAAACCCTTAGAGAAACCTCCTTCTCCTTGCCCAATATGGGTTAAGATTGTTTATTAAATTCTGTAGCTATAGTTATGTTACCAATATTCTAGCAATGATTTTTCAAGAGTAAGGAAAGACTGTTTGGTGAGCTGAGATTGGAGCTGTGAATAGTGAGAGGAGACTACTATATTTAAACAACTGCCCATTGGTTTAAAAAAAAAAACTAAACTAAGGAAGAGAAGGAACATGGGGTAAAATAAAATAAAATAAAAATAAACCTGAAGCTGGACTTGAACAGCACCAAGGTTATTAGTTATTTGATCTGTCCATGAAGAACATTAGAGTGAGGGTAAGAATGGCTCTTGTGTGAAACAAGGTCCTATGGTCTATATTCTATAGCCTTTGACATCATTTTAATTACTAAAGAAAGAAAAGTTGGAGAGTGGATGTATTTTAACCCATTTGTCATCATTAAAAACCAAAACAACACAAAACTTTTTAAAACAAACAGAGCAGTCAAAAAATTGTAAAAATCAAACTTTCTTATTTCAAAGCAAATCTGTTAAAAAGGCAAGTTACATGCAAACTAATAGAGTTAGACTAAAGAAAGAAACAAGGATTTGAAATCCACTGAAAAATAAATTGCCAAAGACCTCATGCCTGAGGAACATAAAGAAAAACCAAGCTCCCCAGTCATTGCCCAGTGTTGCTTTTTCATGACACGCATGTCAGTGTTGTTCTTACCCTCTGAGAGGTGAATGATAACTGGGAACTGAAAGCAGAGTGGTTCCTGTGGGATCAGTAAGCATGTAGGCACATGGACCACCAAACATAAAGAATCCCACTTGGATAAACCATT